GGCGCCAGCACCCCGCTTTGCGGAGCTGCGGCACCCCGTTACCCCGCGGCTGCTTCATTTTCTCCTCCTTCCCCCCCCTAATTTTCCTCCAGGGACGGGCAGCCTCACAGCCGCCGTGGAAACCGCTTCGGGCCGCAAGGCGCTGGTGGTGGGGAAGCCCAACACCTACATGTTCGACTGCATCGTGGAGCGCTTCGGCGTCGACCCGTCCCGCACCCTGATGGTGGGAGACCGCCTGGAGACGGACATCCTCTTCGGCAAGAACTGCGGCCTCTCCACCATCCTCACCCTGACGGGTGTCTCCCGCCTGGAGGAGGCGCAGGCCTACATGGCCAGCGACAGCGCCGCTGCCCGGGATCTGGTGCCCAATTACTATGTGGACAGCATCGCGGACTTGATACCGGGCCTGGATGAGTAGCAGGCCGCACGCGTGAGGGCAGAGGGGTCAGCTTCCCCATCCCAGATCTCCCATCGGTTCCCATTTCTCTCTCACTGCCCTATTCCCTCGAATCCTGGTTTCTTCACATTCCGGCGCCCTTCTCTGGGGGCAAAATGAGGGGGGTTGGTAGGAGGGGGCAGGGTTCAAGTTCCCTCCTTTCTGCTGAGAGCTATCCGTGATGGACCGAGTCCTTCTCTCCCTCATCTGCCAGTGACTCTGGAAGAGAGCTGGAGGCCTTGAGGCTTACGGGGGGGTCAAATCAGTGTGTCTGTGTGGCCTCTCCCCCTGCAGGGGTTAGGGACCGGCTGTCTTTATTTTTCTCTTCGGTCCCCAGTGGCAACCTTTTACTGCTGTCCCTTCGCTCGTAACTCTCCACTTTTGAGCTGCATCCCTGCAGTCTTTGTCGTGACCCTCTCCTCGCCAGGGAACGGGCTGGTGTTGCCACCAGCCTGGTCTCCGTCGGTGCCAGGGCGTGCAGAAGGAGCGTGCCGGAGCTCCGGAGCGGTGAAGGAGAGCATCGCTGCCTCCCACAAGGGAAAGGGAGCATCGCCTCATCTCTTCTCTGCCCCGTTCCTTAGAGATGTCTCCCCCACCGCCCCCTGCCCCGACTCGGTTAATAACGGTGCCAGTGTCCATCTGAAGGGCTACAGAAACAGAAGAGGCTGGTTCAAGGGGTTTTGTGCCAAACAGACAAGCTGTGAGTGCGTGCGGTGGCTCTGCAGTTGTACCTTGTTTTAAAGCGCCCTTTCTGAAGGAGGCTTGTGAAGGAGAGAGGGCTCCGAGACCGTGACAGCACAGCGGTAGTGAACTGTACGACTCTCCCCGGTTCCCCCTCCTCAGTGGGTTTTGCCATAGTACGGTGAGAGAAAAGGGCTGATGGGGGTCTGTGCTCCAGCCGCTGGTGTGCGGGTGAGGTGTTGGTGGTGTTGTTGCTGCTGTGAATGTGTCGCAGCCCTCAAAATCATTCCTTGCTGCTTTGTCTTTCTACGTTTTTTAATTTCTTGATCTTATTTATGAAACTTATTTATTGGTCAAATACTGTATTATTTGTATAAACTATGCTGACTGGTTGCACCAAGGGGACAGGGGGCAGCGCCTTTGGGCCTCCCTTACTGTCCACGTCTCATGTTGATGTTCTTACACTCACCGTGTCTCTGTATATAATAAAGTGTGAGCGTAGGCTGGAAACGGCCTCCTTTTTTTGCCTGTGGTCCCATCAAGATGAGAATGGCCTGGGTATCTGTCTTTGAGCCCTCAAAGATGAGAACGTGGCAAGACCTTTGCTCACTCAAAGGGGTGCTGCTGGGTAGACAAGAGAGAGGTGGACAATGTCTTGTGGGCCGTGTCTGCGTGCTGCCGTTTGCTGCTGTCTGTTACCAGGGTCTCAGAACTGGCATTGAGGGTGGAGGTGGCCGGTGGGGTGATGGCGTAGGGTGCGGGGTCCGGCCAGGTGAGTCGGAGCAGTGAGCGATGCGATCTCTGGCAGCTGCCTTTGTATCTCGCAGCACAGGCGATTCCTCGCTGGGGAGCGGCGAGTTCTTGTGCTGCGCCTGAGGTCTGCCTGCTGCTAGTCAGGTGGATCCCGACGCAGCGGTGTCCTGCCCTGCTTGGCGGTAGGTGCGAGGTGCAGCCTGTCACCCGCATCTAGCTTCCAGAGGGCTGGGAACTGCCCAGGTAAGGTTTTGCTGTGACCCTTCTTGAACGTGCTGAGCTTTCAGTGAAGGGGAGGTGGGTGTCACTGTACCCCTGGAGGTGACCTTCACCGGACTGTAGCTTGCCTTTGTCCTGCATCTTCTCCCTGAGCTTGGCTGTGATCCCAGGCCGGAGGGAGAAAACAGATTAGGTGAGAAAAGCATTCGGAACCACTTGAAGGTACTTTGCCTCCCTTCCTCATATGGGAGGAGTCTCCTTCTCTGGAGATATTCAAGACCCACCTGGACAAGGTCCTGTGCAGCCTGCTGTAGGCGACCCTGCTTCGGCAGAGGAGTTGGACTAGATGACCCACAGAGGTCCCTTCCAACCCCTACCATTCTGTGATTCTGTGATTTAACAGCTGTTGGTGGTAACCAAGCATCACATCTTCCACTTGAGGGATGAGCTGTTCAGCTGAATAACCAGCCTCAGTGTAAGTTCATGCTCCGTCAGCTCATGTGGCAGAATTAGATGCAACTTACTGATCCTAGGATAATTCCAGGTGTTGAGTGTCTTCCCCCCACCCCATAACTTAGGAAATGGCCCTCCAAAACAAAAGAACATCTAAAGAGCTCTCTAAAGACTGCCTGTCATCTTAATCGGTCCCCTTTCTATGTGTCTCTCTCTCCCTTTCGTCCGTCCCCTCTCCAGTTAGAAAACCAGACGACTGGTACTCCCTTAACGAGCGCCTGACCAACACTTGCATCATCAGGCAGAGGCAAGATCAAGACCTAATGTGTCTGCTAACTACAGCTGCCTAACTAGAGATACGCAGATCCTGATTTATTTTTCAGAGCTCTCAGTTCTTGTATCCAGCTGAAACTCGGAGCGCTGTTGGTGTGACTTGGGGCCACAGCTGGGAATGCTCAGTACGGCTGCAAACTGCATAGGTTGAGTTGGTTATGTGTGTGTGTACAGAGGAGATGGTGCACAGCAGGAGCATCCCTAGCAGTTGCCCCCTTTTCTTCTAGGGTGCTTTGGGGGCGAGTCCTTCTCGTGCTCTCTGCCTTGTTCTCTCTGTTCTTTCCAGCCCTCCCAGCCAGCAGGCGGGGGTTTGGAGGCTGTCATCTCCCAGGCTAGCACACCAGGAAACAGAAGGGAATTCAGTAGCTCATTGGATCATAACAGCCTGCGTTTGGGCCCTCTCCAAAGCGACTTTGGAGTTTGCCCTTTGGATCCCAAATGGTGAGCCTGCAGAGTAGGTTTTCTTTTTCACGCGGCTGCTGCTGAAAACAGAGTTCAGCAGAGGCGATCGCTGATCCCTGTCTCTTATGACCATACAACTTCTTTTGATCTGGTGCACCTCTCCCTGAGGGCTTTGTTAGCAGAGGTGGACTTGGAGCAGAAGGGGAATAGGCTTTACCTAGTCTTCCCTTGGTTCCTCATGTAGCTGAGGGCACCAGGCAGGGGTGACCTGCATTCTGTGGATGCTTCCTCTCCCCAGCAACGGAAGCAGAGGGACAAGTGCTTTCTCCAGCCATGGGGCTGCTTTTGCTTTGAATGGGAATGAGAGCAGCACTATAGGGGTCCATCAGGTCTGCCTGGCTTCGATTTTGTGTGGCTTTCTTCTGCCACTATCGCTCCTGTGTGTAATGGAGGTGAGCGTGAGCAGATCTCACGAGAAAACTAGACTGGAAGGGTCCCTCAGGGATGGGGAGTCCTCCATCCAAGCCTTTTGGACATCCATTCAACCACTGGCATGAAGGGGTTGGTGATCCTCCTAGGGGTCAGGCTTTGGTTTCCTCCAGGGTGGGTCTGGCGGGGCTGCAAAGCACATCTGCTGTTGAAACTGGAAAAAAAGTGATGGCTCCTGCCTGGGTGGGATGATATCTTCTTGTTTAAAGGACTTTTTCTTCTTGGGTTGAGTGTTCCAGCAAGCAGTGCTGTTGCCAGGGAGCACAGGGCTGTGGAGAGTGGAGCTGTGGCAGCGCATGGGAAGGTGGAGCGGATGGGAAGCCTGGCTTGGTGTAGTGTAAGGAAGGGTATTTATTTGCTCACCTTCAGAAAACAGCATCGTCCTTTCCTGCCGTGCAACAGAGACAACACCCAGGCGGGTGGCGGTCGTTCCATTACCCCAGGAACCTCACATCCTTCATCTCTAAGTGTGGTTACTGTGGCAACCGCTGGCTGGATGATGCAAGCAGCAGCCTGCTGAGCATCGCCTGCGCTGGGCAAGGCCCAGGGGAGAGGCTAGGGATGCCTGTGTTCCCCTGGCTGGGGGAGAGGCAGCTTCATCTTGCTTCCTGGACTCCAGCCATCCTTAGGCACGGATGGGTGGAGGGGGCAGAGAGCTGCGAGAAGTCTCCCTGGGCTCTTGGGAGCTTGGGGCAATGAGGAAAATGGTTGGATATGTGACTAGGTGAGCCTGCTTCCATAGGAAACTATCCCTTGAGCCAGAGGGAACCAAGCTATACTGCTCCAATTTGTTTGCAGCGTTCGTGATTTGATGGCAGGTAACCTGGCAGCAGCCTGGGTGTGCTCCTCCGTGGCCATCTGCTGCTTTCCTCTGCTGCTTTCCTCTACTGCTTTGTGACCTGTGGCTAGACTGCTCTCAGTGGCCTGGCTTCTAGGGCGCTGAGGCTTTGGCAACCCCATGTCCCCTAGTTCGAAATGTTCTTCACCGTGCTCCTATTTTCCTGGGATCAGCATGTTAACAGGTGCTTCCTATGTTCCCTCTCAAGCATGCTACTCTCTTCCCTTTCACAGAATGGCTGAGGCTGGGAGGGATGTCTGGAAGCCATCTGGTCCAACCATCCTGCTCAAGCAGTGCTTCCTGCGCCAGCAGCTCAGGACCATGCCCAGATGGCTTTTGACTGTCTCCAAGGATGGAGACTCCACAGCCTCTCTGGGCAGCTGGGCCAGTGCTAAGTCACCCTCACAGTAAAGAAGTGTTTCCTGACATTCAGAGGGAACCTCCCACGTTTCAATTTGTGCCCATTGCCTCTGGTCCTGCTGCTGGGAGCCACTGAGAAGAGCCTGGCTCTGTCTTCTTTGCACTCTCCCTGCAGGTATTTATACACGTTGATAAGGTCCCTGCTGAAATATTCCTTATATCTAGTCTAAATCTACCCTTTTTCACTTTAAAGCCATCACCCCTTGTCCTATCACTACAAGCCCTTGTATAAAGTCCCTCTCCAGCTTTCCTGTAGGCCACCTTCAGGTACTTGAAGGCTCCCAGAAAGTCTCCCCTGAACCTTCTCTTCTCCAGGCTGAATGGTCCCAACTCTCTCAGCTTTTCTTTGTGGAAGAGATGCTCCAGTCTCTTAAACATCCTTGTGACCCTTCCC